AGTTACTTCCATTTATCTATGAAAGCCTCTTAATCATCCTTTTATAGCTGAATAATATTCCATTGTATAAAAATACGACATCTTTTTCATCCATTCTGCTTTTGATGATTCTGATTCATCAAACAGAATAGTTGGTACAGACATCAGTTGCTTGTCCACATTTTATGCTTTGATTTTGTAACTTGAACAATGACTTCTAGGATAAAAATATGTAACTTGTCAACTAATGAATTCTTACTTTTTTAAATTCTGTATTAGTTCTGCCCTTTTCTCTGTTTTGCTTTTTTTCTCTAAAAAAAAAAAAAAATGACTCGGCTTTCTTTCTTCTTTGAGGAGCTCAAATTTATTTTCTTGCATTTAACTTACTAGTGCTTGTTCAAGGTAACCAGATGGAGAAGACAGTGTTCAACATCCAGGAAAATCAGACAGGTAAACAAATCTTCTCTTCTGATGAAGCAAATGCCTGCCAAGTTCTACTGACTCCAGTGGTCTTATTAAGTCAACCCACCATATCTGGGAGAGAAATATACCTAAGACTTGTTCCTCACATTCTCAGTGTTTGGAGAACATATAACCACATAAGACAAAAATAAGCATACTTCTTTATTTGTATTAAAGCAGAGAACTTAGTTCCTCAGTTTTCCACAAACCCACAATATACTAGTGATCACAATACATAGTGAATATGTTAGACTCCTTGGCTGTCATAGAAATGTTAGAAACTTACAGACTGAAAGTAACAGAGGATTAACTTGTCTCAGCATGGGAGGCAAGAAGATTGAAATGTAATTTCCTCAGCAGCTCTGACCAAGCACACTTTCCTACAATGAGCATCTTGGAAGGAGACCTAGACGAAAGTCAGTTGGGGATCTACAGTTAATCATAGCCAATAGACTGAGAAGAGATTAGAGCTGTAATTTACACTGAGACCCTAAAAGATTTGGTTTTTCCTGGCTCTTCTTATGTTTTGCAACTCCTTTTACTCTGTGAACAGAAGATGGCAGTGAAAATTATCTGTCTAACACTGGCTCCAAACATTTCTAGAGTCCCTGAGGTAACCACAGATGTCAGAAGCTCTTAACTATCTCCACTCCAGCACGTTAATGACAGAAAACTCTGATGATCAGCACCTGTGAAGTGGGACTTGATTTTTTCTCTCATTAGCAGCGGGGAAACTGAGTAGGGTGACTTTTATCTTCCCAGACACTGATCTGGAGAAATGCGTGTGCATCCTAGAATCTCTTAGGAAGGTCACATGCGCTCTGGTTCCTACATAGGTACACACTTTCAGACTGGGGTCTTTCTGACCCCTCCTGAAGATGGCATGAAGTTTAACTCTTTTGGTTTTCTTTCTAATACAGAATATAGTTTATAGAACTTGGTTCATAGAAGAGGCCAACCATCCTGGACTTGACTCTTGCCATGTTACTCAACCAAGAAATTTCTATAGCATGCCTAGAGAAAAATCTTTCCCTATAAATTGCAGATCTAATAATTCATACGGAAGCAACTGATGCAGGAAAGCTTACTGACCCATGACCTAGCAAGGTTTTTCATGTGACTGAAGCACTGTCAGAGGGAAGTTATAATACTGATGACAGTAAGAATCACCCATATCTTTTCCTTGGAGTTTGTTTATGGTTTGAGCAAAACCTGACACAGACCCACTGCCACTGAACTAGTCAGGCACCTTACATGCCTGGTGAATGCCTAGGGATGGGGAGCCATGAGGCCTGTTCTTGTTTCTGCTATTACAAAGCTAAGTAGTTCCTACTATCATTGCTCCAAAAAACACTCTCGCTGGAGCTACAGTTGATGGTAAATTTCTCTCCTACAGCTGTAGTCAGAGAGCCTGGAGTCTGTGTTACCATGATATCTCCATAGGTCCCTGCAACCAGAAACGGAGAAGGATAACACACACACACACACACACACACACACACACACACACACAAACACACACACACATCCAAATTAGCCTTACAATCTCTCATATAGAATTCATTTTAAACTGTTATTAAAAGTCAGCACACAATTTGGTCCTTATTTGGAATAGTTTTTACCCTATCGTATTACTAAATATTATTCAACTACACAGCTTTTACTCTGAAGAGATTTTAGTAATTAATTGCTCACCAGAGACCCACAGGAATAGGGCTAGGTAAACCTGTGTCTGGGGCACAATCCTACTTCTCCTGCTCCCAGATGAAGTTCCGCTCTCACTGCAAAGACTTTGTTTATAAAATCTGAGCAGGTGGGCAGGATCTGCAGGGGCCTATGCAAAATGAGCAAAATAGAATTAAATTGTATGCACAGTGGATTGTATAATTATCTGAAATTCATCAGGAGACAAAAATAATAAAAATATCACATGAGTCATACTCGTGTGACTAGAAAATATTCTGCCCTCAACTTATTAGTTTTACATCAATTTAGAAAATGTATTACTTAAAGTCAGTGGATTTATTAAAGAGTGTTTAAGTCAAAAAATAATTTGAAATGAAAGCATTATCCATAAAAGAATGGCCTAGAATACTCAGATTAATAGTCCTTGTGCAGTGTGAAAATATAAAGAAAAAAAGACAAAGGACTCAAAGAGAGACAAAGAGCTATGGAGGGAAAGAAAGAAGAATGAAAGAGAAGTAGGGAAACAGTAAAAGACAGAAAGACAAAAAGAAACTAAAGAAACAGACACAAAGGCAAAAACAGGCGAAGACAGAGAAAGACACAGGATGGAAGGAAAGATGGAAGGAGGAAAAGAAAGAAGAAAGGAAAGAAGGATGCCAGGGAGAAAGGAAAATACAAAGGGATGGAGGGGCTGATACTTGAGAAGTAAAAAGTAAAACACCTTGATTGGAATGTAAAGCACCTTTAAAACCAAGATTCTGTGAGCAGAACAATGAGACTGCAAAAGGTAATACATACAAGAGGTGAAAGTATGTATCATCAGTATTTTCAGAAACCCAGAGGTGGTTGTAAATTCTCCAGAAAGAAGGAGGACAACAGATGAAGATTTGAAAACAACAAGAATGGTAACCCAGCAGAAATGTCTGTTTGCTATTTCTTTTCATTTCTGGCTGACTAAGTAATTAAAAATTGTAGCAATGTATCAGAGAGCTCATAACATGTAGAAGTAAAATTTATGGAGAGAGAAAAATTAACAGGCTATCAACAGAGGTGTCAAACTAAAAAGAATGCTAGTGGTGATATTTTAAATAAGAGAAACCAGAGGGTACCTTAGACATAGTCATAGCTGCCCACTGAGAAGATCGCCATGCTTTCCTGCTTCGTGGTATCCCCTGTGCAGAGGTAGGGTTAACACTCTCCTATTCATTCACCTGGGTTATCAATCCAGGGTTAAGAAAATCAGCGTGTGACTTAATAGGCTAGAACACTAAACACTTTATTGAATTTTGTACTTCTAAACTTGTATTTTTATTTGAGGTGTTTGGTAAGGTGTTTGGTAATGTATTCGTATTGTACCTAGTTACGTGCACTGCGAGGAGTGGGCACATGGACTTAACCCATCTAAATTACTTTGACTCCCTTTTGCCCTGCTGTCTCTTGTATTCTCTCTATGTCCAATTTCCTTACCAATTTACAGATAGTTTATGTCCTTATATCATATAATCTGTTTTATTTTGCCTTTGAATCTATTTATATTTTAGATTTCATGTATAAGACATCTGTGATATTTATAGTAATGTGTCTGATTTATTTCACCTAACATGTGGTCTCAAGGTGCATTCATTTTCTTACAAATGGTTAAAACCTTTTTCTATTGCAGTAGTGCTTCATTGTATATACACACCACATTTTTAATCCATTCATCTGTTGATGGACACATGAGCTGCTTTCAAAATTTAATGCTTACCAGTTTTATTGCCGTAATCATCTGTATGCATGATTCACTGTAATATGATGACTTTAAATCTTTTTGGAAGATAAGTAGATCAGGAAGAGCAGGGTCAAGTAGAACTTCTATTTTATTTTTTTGCAGAATCTCTATACAGAGTTCCATAGTGGTTGTACTTGTTTACATTTCAACCAAAAAAACATTAAAAAAAAAAAAAAAAAAACTTTACGTGAAATAATCAAAATGATTCTGTTAAAAACAAAATTATATAAAAGGCCTATAATGTTTATATTCACACTTTTACTTCTCCTTTAATACTTAACCACTCAGAGGGAAATCTCACATTCTTGTGGGAGCAACTCCTAGAAAACAACTAGGATTTCAGAGAAAATGGCCCCATAATCTGGCAGGAGAAAGGACAAGTACCTACTCTGAAATATGGCAGTGTTTTCTGTTCCTTTTAAAAAGACACAGTAGTAACTAGTTACCCAGGGTGACAACAATGACTTAGCAGAGCCCCTAGTCACTGGTGCCCAGATTAGGAGCCATCGCCCATTGCCCTCCTGTCCTGATTATTCTCTCACTGGAATACAGAGGCCCTGAGCAAACTATTCACAAGGGTGAGACTCCTCACATCAGGGCCCTAGAAAAAGTGCAGGCCAGAGAATCACCAGGGCAGCAGTGACAGAGAGAGGACTAGTGTGCCCCTAAGAACAGAGACAAAGGTCACCATCACGTGTGGTGATCCAGCACCAAACACTGAGGAATCTGTGAGACATAATCCTAGCGACTTGCAGTGGCTGTGACATGAGGGGTTCTGGGGTGGAGAAAGTACTGCAAAGCCCTGGGGACCAAGCACTCTGCCACATCCCTCAGGACAGCTGAGCTCTGCACTTGTGACAGTTCTTTCCAGCATCCCTCACTGATACTAAATTACTTGCACAAGGGCTGTCTTCTGCAGAGCCCTAAATACACTAAATTTGCAAGCTGGAGAGAGAATGTCATGCTAAACAACCTGACAAGTAATTACTAGGAATGTAGCAAACATCCCGCTGAGTGTTCATAGAGATCATTTCCTGCCAGGCAATAGAAACCATTCATTTCCTGGCCAAGTTGAAAGTCAGCAAGAAGAAGTAAAGGGACACAGAACACTCATCAGAGTGGCTCATGAGGTTGGATTCAGCAACTCCTGTGAGATCACAGGGGACCCGTGAAGTTGCCATCCACGGGAGACAGGCTGCACAGAACTGACTGGAGCACAGAGCACAGAAGGCTGACCAGGGTAAAGTAGGTGGAGCAAACAGCAGAGCCTGCACCAGAATCTCAGCTGTAATCTTGCTGGCAGCCTTTCAGAGGGAGAAAAGGGAAACCTGCCTGAGCTCTGAGGTCAACAGAGGCTCCCGAGGACTGCATCCACTTCAGGTTTCTCTGCTGTGTATTTGTGTGTGTCTGTGTATGTGTCAGTGTATGTCTGTGTGTGTGTCTGTGTGTGTTCATGAGACTTTTTCCATCATTTTGTGACTGTTTTTGGTTTAATGCCAGGAGTTCATATATTTGCATTTGTTGTTCTACATTTGTGTACAAGTGTTCTAATGTTGCTAGGAAAGCTCTCCATGCAGTAACTCACGTGTGCCTCCTTCACAGAGTATTTCCGGATATTATCCAATCTTGTTTGATATTTTTTTTGATTAATGTTTGGATTCTGTCTCCACATCTCATTTCTCACCTCCAAACTCCATTCTCATCCTCTCCTTACCTGGATAACTTTCCCCCTCACACCTTCTCCTGTCTGTCAGATTTTCTGTCTTGTATTTTGTACTTATTTTTTGCCTCTCTTTGCACCTGTCTCTGTGCTTTATACACAAACCACTAAGAGTGAGTGACAGAGTTTCTATAGTATTTTAGCACAATACATTCAGATCCTCTGCACCAAGGGTTGCTTTATAGTGCTGCTGAAATAGTGTTTGTTGGGTAAGGAATTGTGCTCATTGCGCTGTATCCTCTTTCCGGATCCAGTTTGGTCTCTCCCACCACCCATTCTCTTGCCAGCTTCTTTTCCCCTCACACACTCACACTATCCTTACCCTTCCCAGACTTTTTTAAATGTAGAAGCCATTTTTAAAATTTAACCTTTCTGATTTTTTTCTATTTTGGAATATATGTGAGGGTACTATGTTTATAAACCACTGTAAATGAGTTTTAAATATTGTTTTCTACAATGTTTTACATTAAGCTCTTCAGATCTCCACCAAAATTTGTTAGCTAAATCTTTTAACATAGGTTCGCTTCTAGTATATGAGCTGGATAGAATATTCATACAGACTGCACTACTTTTCTACCTATAAATCACTACCTCTCCTCTTTTTCTTTTACTCTTGTGTGTATCCTATCAAAACCCTTCCTTCTCTCCACAATTTTATGCCTACAGAAATAATATCATAAAACACTGATTTCTCTCTTCTGTTGGACTTCATTTATTTTTACTCTTATCGATTTTTCTTCTTTGATTTATTTTTAAATTCTCTTTTAGCTTGTATCTTAGAAACTACTGTGTGGCATTCCCGATTTTTTGTGTTCTTGTGTGATATGGTGCAAATCTGAATACTCCCCAAAACCTTATGTGGTCTTGCTGCAAGCTTCTAGTGTTTGGGAAAGACTCATAGTCTAATGCTGGGTTTATGGGTGTCTGGGTTACACCCAAATGGGAGTGGCCTACACACAATATAAGGGACAGAAAGAGTCAGAGTCTCTCGGTGCTTCTCTCATTTTGCTGTTGTTACTTGTGCTGTTTTGTGTACCATGTAGTGTTGCCCTCTGCCATGTGTCACTTTGCCCAAAGCCAGTTGATTTGGGATTCAAAACTTCACAAAGTGTTAGTTAAATGAACCTTTCATTCCTTAATTTTGAGTGTCAGGTATTTTGTCCCAGTAATAAGAGAAAAGTTACCAAGACAGAATTTGGTACCAGAGGTGTATGGTTGTTGCTGTGTCTGTATCTGGTCATGAGGTTCGAAAGTTATTGAGAAGGGTATGCAGGAAGAGTTTAGACAGCTTTGAAAATCTCAATGAAAAGGATAGAACTTGACTGGCTTAGGCTGTTTTGGATGTGTGATTCTGGTCAGAGGTCAGAAAACCAAAAAGCAATAAAGACCAGGCTCAGGACATTTCTACTGGGAAGGAGAATTATACTGATTGTGGGACTTCAGATCACATGTGTTATGGCTTGGCAGAAAGTTTGTCTGCATTTTTCCCATGTTCAGAGACATTGCCTTTGAGATTAAGAGGAGTGGACTAACTAATCTGGCAAAAGAAATTTCAGGGCAGTCTAGTGTTGAGCTGAGACATGGCCATTTTTCATAGCTTTTAGCCAGATTAATGTTGCAAATCAAAGGCAAAGAGCCCAGCAAGATGATTTAAAACACTGTAAGGACCAAGAAATATGGTCCAGTAAAGTGGTAAACTAAAAGATGAAGCTGGGATCTCTAAAGTTGAGAAGGGACAGGTGAATATAAAAGATAACCTTAAAGTATCACAAGCAACAGTGAGTCTCCATGCTATGCAGTCACAAAACTGCAAAAGTGAAAGACTTTGCTTTGAGGAGAAATCTGCAAATCACCAAGTTCCAGAATAACAACAGAGGCCAATGAGGTTTCAGAATAGTTACAGTTGCACCAGGTTCCAGAATGGCAGTGGTGTGGAGAATCTGTTTCTCAGCATCAGGTTCAGAGTGCACATTGATCTGATCACCTGATTCGTACAGCCAGGAAACCAGAAAGCCTAGCTACTGCTGCAACTAGCAACAGATCACAGTATCATCTACATGGTGCTGGTTTTAGCTGCATACAGAACACAAGAATTCACAGGTTGAAAAGGCTTCCTCTCCAATTGCAGAAGGCCTGGAGGCCAGGCAGTGTGGTGTGAAGGGCAGGAGTAAAACAGTGAGTGTGAAGCCAAATGTGTGGTGAAGACTCCAGAAGTTTGGAAAAGCCAGGAGAGCAGACTATCTAAGCAAAGCTACAAGGTCTGTGGACAGAAGGACTAAGAGGGAAGTCACAGGAGCTACCAAGATGGGAAATGCATAGAGGAGTTACATGAGATTTTTGGAGCTCACAATGTACCACAAGGATTTAGTGTTTGCCCTGCTGGGTTTTGGTCTTCCTTAGGTTTCAATCCTTTGTATCCTTTTGTTTCTACCTTTTGTAATGGAAAATTTTACCTTCTGCCTTTGAACTTTGGAAGTGCTTAATTTTCATTTATACAAGGTTTCACAGTTAAGAGTTGGCCTTAAATCTCAGGGGAGACTTTGGATTTGGGTCTTTAAGTAAAGCTAAAATGTTACGGTTTTAGCATCTCTTGGAAAGAAGAAACATGTTTTTCATAAAGCATGTGCATGAATCTTTGGGAGGCAGTGGTGGAATGTTATAATTTGCGTCTAGATGTCCCTAAAAAGCTTCACGTGGCCAGGAGTTGGGCTTCCTTGTCTTTGTGAATGACTTGTGGCCCAATGCTGGGATTAAGGGTGTCAGTGTTACACCCTAGTGGGTGTGGCCTACACACAATATAAGGGAAAGAGTCTGCTCTCCATGCTCCTCCCCTTTTGCTGTTGTTGCTTGTGCAGTGTTCTGTAGCCATTCACTCTTGCCCTCTGTCATGTGCCACTTTGCTGTGGAGCCAGCTGGTTACACACTGAAAACTCCACAAACTCTGAAATAAATAAAACTTTCCTTGCTTAATTTTGGATGTCAGGTACTTTGTCTCAGCAAAGATAGAAAACTAATGTAGTCCGTGGATTACTGGAAGAGTAGAAAACTTTCTAAACTAGCTCAGCATTATATACCTATATATGATTTGTTCTTGGCAAGTCAATATTGCCAGTAACTGTCCTATGCTTGCATTACAGTGTTAGGGATCTCTAGCAGCAGATCTTTCTAGACCAACTAACCTACAACTCTCAAAGAAAAGCACAGGAATAATGAAAAATAAATCAAACAGGTACTTAAATATTTTATAATGACAAACAGCTGGCAGACAATAAAGTGGAAAAGTTTCTCTAGGGAAGAACTCAGAAACCAAATGTTCATGTATCTTAAGAGATCAAAGAACAAAATGCATAAAATGTTCATTAAACTCAAAAAATATTTACATAAGAAGAGTGTTTTTAACTAAAAAGATGTTCAGCAAGTTTAAAGAACACAAAAATAGTAGATGGAATTCAGTAAGACTCTGCAATATTTGAACGAACATTCTTGTAAAGAATTTCTGGTTATTCCAAAGAGTAAAGCACAGCTCCCTGCAACTTCAAAGCCAGTCTGGACTTTAAATTTTTGTTGGGTAGTTGAACAGATCTGTTTGCATTCTCACTGTTTGAGTGTGCACTTTGTATGCTTCACTTTTGTAACTTGAACAACTATTTGTAAGAGAATAATATGTATTATCAACTAGTGATTTCTTACTGTTTATATGTTCTTAGAAATTATGTATGATTTCTACCCTTTTTGTTTTGTTTATTGTTTCTTTAAATAACATAAAATGAAATAAAATGAGTTCAAAGCCAGTTTGAACTGCATATTTAAAACCTATTTCCAAAAAATACCAAAATATAAAAAAATGATAATTCATGTGAAGATTGAATGTTAGTGACATTAAATATGAAATTATATTTATCATTGCAAGTCAGTACATTTTCTTTATGTTCATATTTGAAAAGCAGAAGGGATATTCAGAGAGAAATGTCACTATGGAACAAGCATCAGAGAAATGAAATTCTGCTCGCTCTGGAGATGAAGGAAATGGCCACCAGTCAAAGAATGAAAGGAACTCAAGATATAGGAAAGACGGAGAGATATTATGCTGTAGCATACTGATTGAAAGCACCAGAAAATATGTTGAATTCATCCCTGGAGTCTGGTGATGGATATTATCCTACACAACTATAAAGTAAGGAATTTCGCATTTCAATTCCTTGAGTTGGTAAATTATTATAAAATAGTATAAATTTAATACAAACATCTAGGCTGTATTTTCTTATAATAAAGAATCGAGGAGACCTGGATTCTCTTTATCTTCTACTCAGCTCTGCAGTCTTCCTCTGATACAGTCTCTCAGGGAGCAGGAGAAAGTGTTCAACCCTGGGCCAGATGAAGTGCAAGCAGCCGGGGAGACCCTGAGAGGAGCTTTATGTTCGAGGCTGAATCACTGTGGAAGGAGTAGTAATACCCTGCTGGCAGTAATATTCTGCAAAGTCTTTATCCTGCATCCTGCTGATGGTGAGAGTGAAATGCATGCCAGATCCACTGCCACTGAAACTATCTGGGACCCCAGATACCCGGGTGGATGCATAGTAGATGAGCAGTTTAGGAGGTTGTCCTTGTTTCTGCTGGTACCAGCTTAAAAATTTCTTGTTATTACCACTGTATAGAAGACTCTGGTTGGACTTGCAGCGGATGGTGGCACTCTCTCCAGCAGAAACTGCCAGGGAGGCTGGTGACTGGGTCATCACAATGTCACCGCAAACACCTGCAACCAGGAATACATAGTGCTTATAAACAAACACATACACCCATGTTTTATCTTATAATTATTGAAATGAAACCTTTAAAATGTAGACACTGCTACTATTATAAATTAGCACATACTTGGGTCATATTATTTTTCATTGCATTTTAAAATTATAATTTAACTCTATAGAGATATTATTATAAGTGATTTTGGAACTGTCCAGTTTCTCACCAGAGATCCAGAAGAATAGACATGCAATGACCTGTATCTTTGACCTCATCTTGCACCCTCTGACACCCTGCTCAAATCTCCTTGCAAAGGCCCCGTTTATAAAGTCTGAGAAATTGGGCTGGCCCTGGAGGAGCCTATGAAAATTCATCTGTAATTAAGGAAGCAAACTGCATGAGTATTGACTTATGAAAGTAACTGATTAAATCAAAAGTCGAAAATACCTGCATGGAAATTGTACTTGGGTAGCCATGAAAACTTGGTACTTAATTCAAAAGTTATAAAGTTACAAACCATTAGATGGCCTAAGTAAGGACTTTAATCTCAAATATACAAAAACATTCAAATGGACTTTGCATATACAGGGAAAGTAGCCTAGAAACTTCACATCAACACAATGAGTTACACAATAAAATATGCTATTAAAAACAAGAATAAAAAAAAGTACAACAAAGGACATGGAAGAAAGGCAGAAGAAAAAAAAAGAAACATTAAAAAATCCCTCTACGTCTAAACAAACTCACATTTTCTATGACCAACACGATGTCCATTTTCCAGAGCCACATTTATGGTGACACTGAGGAAAACAGGATATGGCTGGGCTCCAGGGTCTTACCATGCATGAGACACAGAGCCAGGAGATCTAAGCTTGAGGGCCAGAAGTACTGCGTGGAAGTGTGAATCAAGAAGACTCAGACAACTGTTTTCCAAAAGCTACTTGGAAATGAGCAGAAGGAGCCACATAAATTGAAAAATGGAGAAAGAGATAAAAACAAGATAAAATTTTATTGAAAATTAATGACTGCCAAGCAACACTGCCAAAGTATTTACTCCCAAAACACCTAGTTTAGAGAACAGAGAAATTAACTATCATGAAATTAAGATGACGTTTCTGACAATTAGGAACCCAGCTGACAACCTCCTGAAGGAAGACATTAACATTCTAATTCCCTAAGAAATATTACAAATACTTTTTCTACAGTAAATAGAACACACATAAAAAAGATAATTTTAGTAGGAATGAAATATAAGCCAAAGAATATGTTGTAGGTGTTAGACTATCAATCATGGAAACATTTTTATTAAAAGTTATTAATATATTGAAATCCAAAATAAAGTATAATAATATAGGTATAGCACAAAATGCTAGAAAATTTTTAAAAAGTTTAACCCACTTGCTACAACTGAAATGTCATTGTAACTCACCTGTAATAAAATTTCTTAACTGATCTTGGAGATTTAACATCAAGACAGAAATACTTTTGACCACTAAAGATTTTAATTTTTCCACTGAATCAATTTGCTCTCGCCTTGTACTTTAATTACTTTTTATTTTTTTGTATACAAAATATTATTAAAATTAATTCTCCTAATCAGATTCAAAATTTGCGTAAGATTACTAAGATAGCATCATATGAGACAGAGCTTTGGTTTGAGTTGAAGATGTTCATAATTTCCAAGGGCATGAAAACAAAGAATGAGTGAAACTGTCTACATTTTGCCCTAACAAGTGGGCATATCCTTTAGCTCTTTGTTTCAGTTCATAACTTGCCTTTGTTTCTGCTTGGAGAAGCTCAAATTTTATTTCTTTTCACTTCAATTATTAGTGATTGTTCAAGATAACCAGATGGAGAAGTCAACATCCAGTACAATAAAAGTGTAAACATTCGCCTCTCTGTGGAGGAAGAAAAGGTTTCCAGCTGCCAAGTTCTACTGACTTCACTGTTCTTATTTAGTCAACTCACTAGAACCAGGAGAGAACTGGAGCCGACACTTGTTCCTCACATTCTCAGTGTTTAGAGGACATATGCACACATAAGTTAAAAATAGTCATAATCTTTTATTGGTAATGAATCATAACACTTAGTTCCTCATTTTCAGACAAACCACATTACACAAATGACCACAATACACCGTAAATACATTACACTACTTGAAATATGATACAAATATTACACATTTTATAGCCTGAAAACAACAGAAGATTATCCTCTCACAGCATGGGAGGCAAGAAGTCTTGAATGAAAGTTGCTCAGCAGCTCTGACCCAGCACACTTTCCCACAGTGAGCATCTTGGAAGTGGCCTAGGAGAAAGTCAGGCAGAGGTCCAGATTATCCTGAGACATGCAAAGGCTTGGCTTTCCTGCCTCTTCTGTATGGTATCCCCTTTCACTCTGTGGACTGATGGTGGTGGTAGCAAAAGATATGTGAGGAGAAAGAGAAAATTTGAGAAGTGTTCTCCATATTGATTCAGAACAACATGAACATAAAATTATCCTTTGCTCATTCTGTGCAGTGTGAAAGGAGTTCTAGTCTTCAGAAAAGTTTTTGATTAATCTGATATGTGGAGACAGAAATAAGTATAAGAATGCATTAGTTAAAAAAAAATAGTTACCAGGAAGTTTATATTTACTCCCTACAAGGAAAGGATAGATTTTTCTACAGCTCAATTCCTTTGACTTGAATGTACTTGTATATGGAAGCATTAGATCTGGGGAACATATTATATCTACCACTGGTTTCTAACATTCTTATACTTTGTTGGTAACTGCAGATGGCAGAGGCTCTTAAATAACTCCACTCAATCATTTTAAAGTTAAAAAACTCTTATGATCAGCACGTGTGAAGTGGGACGTGTTCCTTTCTTTCATTAGCAGGGAAAGAGCCAAGTGTGCTGTCTTTTATTCTTCCAGCTACTGATCTGGATGAATACATGTGTATCCTAGGATCTCTCAGGCAGGAAGGTCACATGCACTGTGGTTCCTACACAGGTCCAGACTTTCAGACTAAGATCTTTTCAATCCATTTTTCAGACAACATGGAGTATGTCTCTTTTGTTTTCCTTCTAACACGGAATATAGTTTATATTGCTTGGCTCATATAAGGGGCCTAAAATACTTGCTTGGCCTCTTTCCAAGTCGTCAAACAGGGAATTTCAATAGTGTTCCCTGGAGAAAATATTTCCTTGCAAATTGCAGAACTAATAATTCCGGTGCAAGCAGTTGGTGCAGCAAGGCTCATTGGCCCATAGCCTGAGGAAGTTCATGTAGGAGTCCGAAGCACTGTGAAAGGGGTCGTTATAATATTGCTGACAGCAACAATTGTTTACATCTTCTGTTTGGAGGTTGTTTATGGTTTTATTGAAGTCTACACAGTTCCACTGCCACTGACCTGGTCATAGACCTGAGATACCTGGGTGGATGCTGTTGTCTTTGCTCCAAACAAGATTCTCACTGGGCCTAATGGCAATGGTCTCACCTAAAGGTGCAGTCACAGAACCTGGATTCTACTTTACCATGATATCTCCATAGACCAGTGAATCAAAAATACAGAAGGATCATCCATTGCCTACCACCACACACCCAAATGCAAACAAATTATCATAAACACATTGCAGTCTGTCATGTAAATTTCATTTTAAATCGTTATTAATAGTTGGCACATAATTAGGTCCTTAGTGGCAATAGATTTTATCCTGTGATATCTGTTGTAGTCAGGGGTTTTGCACAGAACTGTTAGAATCAGGACATGGAGGTTATAATATTGTTTTATTATGGTCACCAGGAGTTAATACAAGAAAATGCAGGAAATCTATCTGCAACATCAAAGACATAGAATATTTTAGTCAGGGGCCTAAATCCCACAGTGATATCCTACATGAGTCCAGATTAAAACCCAGAGCTCATGACAATGCTTTCCTCAAGTCCAACTTTCGTGCAGAGCCCACAAGAAGGACACATGCCACTTTCTTTTATGGATTCGTACTGGGAAGGCCCAAAGTTCAGAGTTGGAAGGCAGAAAGTCCATGCCAGCAGGGTGAAGGAGCTGTGATGGTGGGATGAAGGTTCTATGCTGGAGTTGAGAAGTCACACTCACAACAAAGACCAGGGGTACACAGCCATCCTCAGTGACATGGAGGCCCCAAACTCCTCCGTCAACAAGCACGGTCAGGTACATGCCAGGAAGCCAGCATGATGAGTTCATCCTGGAGAGCAAGCTTCACACTTCTTCCCCTCTGGAGCCAGGAAGAAATGCTCGATGTGAGGACCACAGCTTCTTCAAGAGAACCATCAGATCAAACAGCAACTCACTGAAGAACCCACAATACCTCAGGACAATAATACATTAATGTCTCAACATCCTCCTTTTCCTTCACTACCTATTTATGCTGGCAATTTTCCTCAGATGAAGCATCTTCACTCAGTGCCATGCTGATGTAATCCAGCTGTAATTAGGCAGACCACCAATTCTTAATCCATAACAATATCTTAAGACTATTTTTGTACCACACAGGTCTTACACTGAAGACATTTGTCTATTTAATTTCTCATCAGATCTCCACAGTAACAGGGCTAGGTAGACTTCCGTTTCAGAAACCACCTTGCTTATCCTGCCCCCTGAAGCAATTTCTTTCTTACTGCAAAGTCCTGGTTTGCAAAGTCTGGGCAGGTGACCTGGACCTTCAAGGGCCCATGCAAAACGAGCAAAGAGAAGAAAGTTGAATGGATATTGGACTGTAAAATTACCTGACATGTATTAGGGAACAAAAAGTAATACTACCACATGAAGTGCAGTTGTGTGACTGAAAAATATGCCACACTCAATTTACAAGCTTTACAGTCAACTTAGAAACTCTGTTACTAAAAGTCAGTGGATTTATTAAAGAGTCTATGCTAAGTTAAAAATAATTTAAATGGATGCAATGTGCATAAAAAGGATGGCCTAGCCTTCTTAATTTAATAATACTAATGAAATTACATAACATAGAGAAACAAGAGAAAGGACTCAGAGAGAGAGAGAAAATAATAAAATGGATGGAAAAAAGAGAGAATACATGAAAGAGAGAGAGAGAAAGAAAGAAAGAAAGAAAGAAAGAAAACAGGAAGAGGGAGAGGAAGAAAGAAATAAGAAAGTAAGGAATACAAAACAGGCAAAGAAAAATAGAGAGACAGAAGGGAAAGAGCAAGGAGAATAGGAAAGAAGAAAGAAAAGGCATAAAGAAAGAATAAATGAAGGAAAGAAGGGAGGAAGGAAAAAAGGGCAGTCAGGAGGTACGTAAACCTAGAGAGAAAGCAGAAAACTGTCTTGAAATAATGAAAAATAACTTTCAATACAATAATCTGTACACAGAAAAATGAGACTTCAAAGGTACTATAAAGAAGAGCAGGAAGAACATATGCTCACTACTTTCACACAGCCAGAGACCATCATAAGTTCTCCAGAGAGAACAGATGAAGCAGATGAAGATTTGAAAACACCAAGAATGGTAACCAAAGAAAAATATTACTTAAATCCTTTCATGATTGACTCACTAGGTCATCAAAAGTTGTAACAATACATCGCAGAATTTAAAACCTGCAGAAGTAAAATTATAAAGACAGCAAAATTTAAAGACTACCGCCTGCAGCATCATGATGTGAAAAATGCTAATAGGGATACTTTAGATAAGAGAAGCCAGAGGGTACCTGAGACAGAGTCACAGCTGCCCACTGAGAAGGTTGCCATCCTTTCCTGCTTCCTGTTATCACCTTCACCTGGCACTAACACTCCCCTATCCACTGGGGTCATCAGGCCTCATTAAGAAAGAAAATGTGCATTTTCATGGGCTAGAATGTTAAACCTTTTGTTGGAGTTTTTAGTTCTAAACTTGGATTTTTATTTGTTAGGTTTATTAACGTAAACTTACTATAAATATTTATAAGTACGATGAGGAATGGGCACATATTCTTAACCCATCTGAATTATTTTTTGACTGTCTCTTGCCCTCCTTTTTCTCCTCTTCCCATTATCTCTAGTTTCCTTATCAATTGGCAGAGGATTTATCTCATTTCATATTATCTGTCTTATTTTGCTATTGAATCTATTTATATTCTGGATTTCAAATAGAAGGGAAACAATATGATATTTGCTATTGTGTATCTGATTTATTTCACCTAACAAGTGGTCTCAAGATGCATTCATTTTCTTGCAAATGATTCAATCTTTTTTCTAGTCCAGTACTACTCCACTGTGCACAAATGCCACATCTTTTAATCCATTCATCTGTTGATGGACACACAAGCTGCTTTCAAAATTTAATGCTTAGCACTTGCGTTGCTATAATCATGTATATGCATGGCCCACTGTAATGTGATGTCTTCAATTCTTTTTGGTAGGTAACTAGAACAGGAAGGGCAGGGTCAAGCCGAATTTCTCTTTTTAGTTTTTTTGCAGAATCTCTTTACAGACTTCCATACTAGTTGTGTTCATCTACATTTCCAGCAACAAACTAGAACAGTTCACTTTTACCCCACATCCTCACCAATATTTAGTATTATTTGATTTTTACATAGCAGCCATTCTTTCTGGAAAAAAGATGAGATCTCAGTCTTTTAGTTCATATTTTTCTCAGGGTCAGTCATATGTGTGTATTATCTGTTTGTTTTTCTAAAAATTATATCCCTTTCACTTACCCTTTTTTGACTAACTTTTATTAAGGAGGTCTGTTTCTTAAAGTAATTCACATATTGTCAGTATTAGTCTTCTTCCTGATGAGCACACGGCAAAGGTTTCTTCCCATTCTACACCTGGTCTTTCCCTCTTCCAGCTGCTTCTTTAACTGCATAGAAGCATTTTAACTTGATACAATTTAGTTTGTTGTCTCTTGGTGTTGTTTATTTTACAACCAAGTGTCTATTCAAAAAGTCTATTTATGCTTGTGTTCTTCAAATTTTTACCTATGTTATCATCCAGAAGATTATGTGTTTCATGTTTATAAATGCAGGTTTTTGGTTCTTTTATAATATTTTACTACTTGGTGGTGAATGTAGTGTTGGTTTAGATTTCTCATGGCTATAACCAGTTTTCCAAATTCCATTTGTTAACGTGACTCTCTTTCCATCAGCCAATGTCATTCACCTCATTCTGAAGGATTAGATGAATGAATGTGTTAAGGGTTGTTCCTGCGTATATCATAAAGTCTGAGATTATGGTACTTCCTGTTTTATTCTTGTTGAGCAGAATTGAAATTGCTATTTTGAATCTCTTCTTGTTCCACAGAAAATTTAGGTTTTCCCCAGTATTTTAAGGAATGCTGTTAATATTTTGATTGGTATTATATTAAATCTGTATATCTGCTTTAATATCATAGCAAATTTGACAACATTGATTTTGATTGCCCAGAAACAGGAAATAACGTTTAATTTCTGATGTTGCAATGCATTTTTCTATCTCCTTTTCCAGAATACCATAATTTTCATTATGCTGATCTTTTACTAATTTCTAAGCACTCAGTTTTCCTTGAAACCATGCAAATCTTATTATTTTCCTAATTTATTTTTCAGGAAGTTCATATTTAGGGTATGGGTAATTCTGGCTTCTGATTGCTCTGGTTAGTATAATTAGGTTGGAGGAAGCCGTGTGCCTCCTAGTGACAACACTTGGGCAGTACAAGGAAGAGATTCACAGAGAAAAGGTGATGTTCTGTGCCAAAATTCACCAGCAAAATTAACTTCCCCAACGAGTGGCTCATCTTGAAAGCCACCAGTGAAGTCTTTGGATGAGTGTGACACAGTGTGACCACAATGGAAAGAAAATCTTGAGCCAGCTCCAGCCATTCTGAACCAACTTGAAGCTTTCCACATTCTTCACAGAGTGTGAAAGGAAAAAAAAAAATTGTACATGAAGCTTCTACGTTTGCGGTCAATAGTGTTACACAAAAATACAAAGAAAATAAAGAGATATGGCAAGGTAAAGTAAAATATGGACCTACATATGGGTGTCTTGGGCTATAGAAAACTACAAAAGTATTTTACAAAGTGAAAATATACTTTGAAGCAGAATATGTGACGAGAACACCATATAAATCAGGAAAAAAAAAACATGAAAGCATTGAAATCTTGAATTCCTCTTAAAGGCACATTAATCTTAAGATTTTTGCAAGAATAGAAATGGTAATTTTTCATTGTTTCTGTTGACTTTCAGTTATTTTAAAGGAAATTTTTATAACATTCTTGCTGAGGTAAAATTAAAACACAAACAGATTGAAAACTAATAGTTCCAGAATTAAACAGTGCACTCCCTACCTCCTGCCCACCCTCATGACAGTTAGTGAATTTTAAGTCTCTTTCTTCTTTTTATTGAAGATCCTCGACCAATTCTACCATTATCCCCAGCATGTAATGTGGAAGAGGCAATGAACATTTTCATACAGGGGCAGTTAATATATATGGCAGTTGGCTTTTGGAACAACCTCCAAATCAAATATGGAAAAGCCCAGCTTAACATTGACTGACAGCTCTATGAAACCACAATGTGCTTCCCTCCCAGAGGACTTTAATTCATTGCCTACTGTAGAGAAAGATGGGCAGACTGTGGTTATAGTGAAAAGAGCAAACAAGTAAGCTTTGGTCCCATATTGGACATGAGCTGAGAGACAGTAGAATCAAAGACACCTGCTATGCATTTAGATCTGAACCACCAGAAAATTTGCAAAGTCTTCTTCTTAGATGGAAAAGCAGAAAAAAAAAGCAAGTTGTGGGCACTACAAATCAGAACTAAATTGGAGTATTTTAGAACTTTGGCATGTCACCAGACACCTAAGTGGTGGCTCTGGCATATGTGTGATTCTGGAGCTCAGAGAAATAGTCAGAGCATCAGGCACCAAGGGTTACAGGATGCAATCAAAAGTCAATGATTACAAATGGCTGAAATAAGGCTGTGAACTGGCACTGAACTCCAATACACAAGAGTCAGAAAATGAGGAGAAACCACCAGCAGAGAATGAGAAGGAGAGTCTATCCAGATGAGAATTGTAAAATAATTATATTATATATATGTAATAATAGTATTTAAGTCCTAGTCCATGTGTTGATATGTACAGAGCTGTCTAAGTATCTCATTTTTCTTTCAATTGGCTCTAGGCAATGTAAACAAGGATGGCTGAGATGCTGATGAGGAATATTTGGAGCCAACCAACAGCCTTGTTTCTTTGCCTGTGTCTCCATCTAAAAGTGGACCGCAGTGCGATAATAGAGCAAATGCCTTAGCAATGCTCAGTTTTGCATCTCAGCAAAATATACACACTTATGTAAGTGATAGACCATGATAGCTCAATCTTATAAACAGCCCTTATGCTGTTTAGCAGATTAATGGATAAAGAAAATATGTTTTTTTTTTCACACAATAGAGTACAGCTGTACCATAAAGGAGAATAAACTTGAGACACTTTTAGGTAAACCAGTGCATCTTGGAGAATGTCATTGGGTTCCAGCTGCAAGAAAAGAGGCTGTGACTTTCCAAGGAAAACAAAAAAAAAAGTTTCCACATCAGAAACATAGCACCTGTCCCCTTAATGTTAAACTTTACCTCAATTTTGCTGTATAGATTCCCGTTTCTGCACACTCTCTCTTTACATATTGCAGGGGTACTTTCTGGCTACCTACATCACTCATGTTACCATCATATCCTCCGCCACTCCCTTCTTCATGAATTAATCATTACTGGTTTACATGCTGGTTTGAAGACCACATCCATGAACCCCCATCTGGACCAGATTCAGTACACCATGGCCCTCCACAGCTGTAAACATGTCTTGGTTGTATCTTTATTCTGGTTGTGAGTTACACTGGAGGTTGTAGATTGGAATTTACTCATTGGGTTGCAAAAATTTCCATGCAGCATAAGTATCTTTGTGGATGCCTTTTTCTATAATATGTGGCAAAGGCATAGCTATGTGTTCACATCCATACCAAGTTAGAAGACAAAGGCATCACCCTGCAGAGCTCCCAGGGCCATTGTGTTGTCAATCTCCACTGATCTCAAACTCACCTGAATCACACTGCCCCCTGCTCTTTATGTATTTAAAACTTTTAGCTTTAAAGAAATCACAGGCTGGATGCCTTATATTAACACCACTTGTGAAATACTATAACACACTAGATCAACGAGGACCAAAAAGACAGCAGAGAGAATTGGGAATGGTAGAGAACGAATCAAGGGAGGAAAAGAATGAAGACAAGAATTGGAAACACAAAAAGCTGCCAGTTTCTAAGGCAATCTTTTTCTTTCTTTGAAAAAAAAAAATCTATGAAATACAAAGCCACCTTTACCCTGAAGATATCAAAGAACACAGGAAACATGTGAGATCCAGTTTACAACTAATGCATGGGTGGGCAGTTACAACTGGCTGAGATTTCATTCTGTGCATCCTTTGGGACCCCAATGTAACATGAGGATCAGAACTGTGAACCAGCAGGAAACATCACCCTGTCCTTCCCCCAACTGGGAACCAAAAACAAGGCTTTAAGTAAGCTGAGAAATGGAAAGAGAACAAAACAAGGTCTCTCAGGAAATCCATGCCTAAAAGCCAACACTTTAAGAATATTTTCTCAGGGGCTGGGGATTTAGCTCAGCGGCATAAGCACCTGCCTTGCAAGCAAGCGATCCTGAGTTCGATCCCCAGTACCGGCACCGGCAAAAAAAAAAAAAAAAAAAAAAAAGAATACATACCTGGTTCAGGATTTTTCCTCTTAGAAATCAGTGTAAGGAAGCCTTACAGATGAGGTGCCGAAGGGAAAACCTCTCTCCTA